ATACCCAAAAATTAAAAATTGAGTCTCTAGCTTAGAATCATAATCCTATAACCATAATAATTCATTTCTCATCCCAAATAATCATCTAAACCTCAATAAATCAACATATATTTTCAGATCTAGTTTAGAATTTGATCCATAAGCCACAGATTCAAAGATCATCAATAAATTTATACTCTAGAACATTTATTATACTACTGACAACCTCAAAAATCATATTTATTCAACATAAATTCATCCCTCTTCCAGATCTTAAATTTTCTACCACTACAAACTCAGAAACTAAATAAGAAGGATGACTAAGAAAAATTTTTAGAACACTTACTTAGTCTTGAAAAGCTTAAAATCACACCCTAAATATCCTATTAAAAACTCTTACCTTAAAAATTTAGATATTTCGCACCGGAAACTCGCTTCTCTCCGCCTCAGCTCGCGCGCAGAATGAATGAGGAAATGAAGGAAGGTGAGTTTTTATAAAAATTCAGTGGGTCCCACACATTTTTTTTATTATTATTTCTTCTTTCTCTCTCTTCCCCCCTTTTTTTTTATTATTATTTTATACTTACTATTCATGCGGTGCCGAAAGCAAATTCGTTTTCTCTTCTTCTTCCTTTTTTTTTTTTTTTGTTTTGGCATACCTTTTTCCCTTTTTTTTTTATTATAATAATAATTTAATAATTAATTTTTTTAATTAATTTTTTTTAATAAATTTATTTTTTTTTTTAAATTTTTTTTTATTTAGAATTATATCCTAAATTAGATTTAATAATCATTTTCTACTAATTTTCTTACCTCTAAATATTATATTTTTTTTAAAAAAAAATTTCTATTAACCTAAATTAACTATTAAAATTTAAATTGGGATGTTACATCTCGGATTAGAAACGTCAGCAGATTTCCCAGACTTCGATTGTTTGTGAAGCAACTGTCAATTATTGAGAACATTAAATAGTAAATGTTGGAATATTTCTCGGCGAGATTGACCTTTTTTATTTTTTGGTGCATTGGACAGGTAAGTTGACTGATAAAAGTGATGTGTATGCATTTGGGGTTGTGCTTCTGGAGCTACTGTTGGGAAGGAAACCGGTGGAAAAACTGTCACCATCTCATTGCCAATCTATTGTCACATGGGTATGAGTTTTTTTGCGCTTGATTCTATGAAAATTCGATTGAGTTCAATTTCAACGGGAAATTGACAGACACATTGGGCGATGACAATATTGCAGGCCATGCCACAGCTCACCGACAGATTAAAGCTTCCAAACATAGTAGATCCTCTGATCAAGGACGCTATGGACCTCAAGCATTTATCCCAGGTTTTCAATCTGAAACATGTCTCCGAACCATTTTCTGATCATTTCTGGTCTTTCTGGTTACTTTGAACTAAATATTCCAAAGTAAGTATACCATGTAAAATTTTTCAACCCATTGGACGAACTTGCACTGGTATAATGAGAGTGGAGGTAACAGTGAAGGGTTGGTTGAGGCAGAAGGTTGTGATTGTGTATTGTAGGTTGCTGCTGTGGCGGTGCTGTGCGTGCAACCAGAGCCAAGTTACAGGCCACTGATAACAGATGTGTTGCACTCCCTCGTCCCTCTGGTTCCGGTGGAGCTTGGAGGGACCCTCAGACTCAACCATGTACTTCATTGACTTCATTCCGGCCCCCTTGTTTGCAAATGCTGTCGTCCCAATGTTGGTTATTGTCAACCATTGACTTCACTGACCCGTCCCAACTTATAATAACTCAACGAGCTCCACTCATTTAGGAGCAAAGGCCGGTCTGATTGGGGCCACAACAGCATCGATTTGTTCATGACACATGTAAAGAAATTCGTTCTAGTTTCATACAACATAAAAACCTCGGAGGAAAAATAGATTGTCATTGTATAGAGGGATCATTTTGTAGAATGTTGTATATTTGGATGGAGATAAACTTCACTCTAATTTTCTTCTCATGAAAGGTCAGTCCACTGAATCAAAAGAAAATGCCGGTTTCTCTTGTTAAAAAATCTCAATCAAAATTGGAGCAGTTAAATAATGTATGAAAAAACATCACTTAGAACAACTGCTCATTCAAGGGAAGGTCACTCATTAATGAAGATGAATGTATTCATCTATTCCAAAAGTAACCAAAGGGAGGATTCAAATTTGAATAAAACTATGGGCCTTGTTTGGCACGGGCCTGAAATTGAAGAGATTGGGATGGGATTAAAATTGGGAGTGAGAGTGAAATTGAAGCTTTAAAATTATATTTGATATGAAATAATAATTGTAGGGAATGTTTTTCTCCATTTTATTTTATAATTAAACATAAATTATAAAAAGACTACAATACTCTTTATAATTAATAAAAAAATTTTGCCAAAACCCATCTTCTCTTTGTCGCTCATGACCCCAACCTCCACTTACCATCAATCACCCTATTCAATGACATGAAACTAGGAGCAAATGTAGCAACAGTTCTCGTTCGTGATGGATATTGAAGATTCAAAGGTAAATGCAGCAACGCTATTCAACACAAATTCGGAGGCAAGAAGGCAAGTAGATTAGAACTAGTGGTGGAGGACAACAAGAGGTAAACAGGGGAAGAAGGGAGGAAAACAAAGGGAGAACAGCATCGATGGTGGAAGATGAAGGGAGACGAAGGAAGACAAAGGGAGAACGGCATGAGGTAAATGAAGGGAGAAGGGAGGAAGACAAACTTGTCAATGGTGGAGAACGGTGCCAATGCTAGGGACAACCATGACAGACTCAACAATTGAGTGAGAGAACGATGAGGGATTGAGTTGGTGGTGAGGGTAGAGAGACAAGAGAGAGAGTGTGAGGATGAGAGTAAGTTGGTCTAGAAAAAATCAATCCTAAAATTGATTTCTCAATATTAGGAGATGGTGATATTGAGTAATTTAATTCTATGTAAATGAGATTGAAATTAGAATTAAATTTTTCAATGCTCCATACCAAACATAAAAAACTAATATTCGCCAACGTTAATGCCAGCCCCATCTCCAATCCTTCATACCAAACGGAGAGCTCATTCTATGATAAACCCTACAATGTACTCACTAAAGATAATTTCACGTTTTCCTAGATACGTGGATAACCAACCATGACGTAGAAAAACATCCAGTAACCAGGCAAATGCGCATGGATGAAAAAGTACCCAATAGTAAATACTAAGTACAGCCATGTACTAATATTTCGTCTTATGTGACGTTTCTCTTGACAAGGTTATTTTTACCATTGTCTTTCTCGCCCACATAAACAAGGAGACTCATCAAAGACGGATTCTCTAGTTAAGCTCAATTTAATCCAAGGATTTAAGAAATCCCCAATGGAACTTCTGCTTATGAATATGCATGTAAGAGTCACTTTTAAATATACATGTCTAATTTAACCGCATTGCCAATGGTCATGACATAGACACAGATATTGGGTGTCTTTGGATAGAAAATCTGATTATACAAAAAATCAATTAACAGAACCAGATAATGTTTGAATAATATTTTTTGAAATTAATTTTAACTTTAATAAAATTGAAGATATTTGAATAATATTTCAAAATCAACTATAAATGTACAAATTACCATAAAACATTTACTGTGATAATGATAAAATTAATGTGATAAAATCAATTCAAATTAACTACCACTTACTTAAAAAAATTACATAAGCCAGGCCATTTCTTTTTATATTTAAAAAAAGATTAAAAAAAGAAATAGTAATTTAATTGGGAGGGAATCAGGGTGCACAGGCTGCAGCAGCAGGGCACATGTAGAGAGGGAGAAGATTTTTTGGGGGGGGGGGTAATGCTCAAATAGTAAAAATTGATTCTCAAATGAAGAAAAAAATAGCTTTTATCAAAATGGAGTTTGAAGGTATAGAAAAAGATGGGGTATCTGGATAATTTTTCAAAACCTTGATTCAAGGCTCCATAATTGATTATTTGTGGATATCCAAACACACCTGTCATCATAATGTCATTGTCATCATAATTTCAAAACTCATCCTAGAATGAAGGGAAGCCATGATATCTTCTGCAAGAGACATCACCATGTCCCATTCTTCGGTGATAATTGCCTAAACATAATGTTAAATTTATCACCATTAAAATAAACCATTGTAACTCGTAAGAAATTCCCGGCCATACTCAACTTCTACTGCATTGTGCATGCAAGTGCACCCCACAACTGCCCTGGTCAATTCTCAAGCTAAAGTCATCCTAGACTCAAAGCCTAAGTACGGGAATACGTTCATCGTTTTGGTCGGTAAAATAACACAAAAGATGTGGCTGCCTAAACCATGAAAAATCTCATAACAATTATAGCGTTTTTTGTTTTGGAATGCAATAGGAGAAAAAGCGTAGAGAGAAAAAACAACAAAGAATCAACCCAAATAGCCAAATCCGTGCTTCTTTCCGTTGACAAAAAAACAAATTTCCCAAAGCTACGCTCTAACAGAGTTACTAGAGTTATCATGAATTTCTTATCCACCACAAAATCCAGCAATCAAGGACTTTTGAAAAAGGGTTCGCTAGATACACATCGAAACACAACCCCTTGCAGTTCTATCAGGATCCAGTAATTGTCAACAATAGTGCTTTGATAGAATTCTTCTGTCGTGTCGTGCATAAGCTCGAGTGTTTGCTAGCTGGAATGACAATCTGGTAGAGGGGCGGAAAAAAGAAATTATTTTTCCCTTTTCACGGGTAATGGATTGAATACATTCTTTCTGGGCTTCCACACAAGCAGAAGAGCAAAGGAGTAGGGACTAGGGAAGCCACCGAAAATTGCGGCGAGATCGTAAAATAGAAGACTCGGCTGACAACCAAAACCTTTTTGGCTAAAAAAAAAACCGCCAATATCAAGCAAACACAATAGTAGGGCAGCGTGCTCATCATCGTACAGACAACCTTGCTTAGAGGTTCGATTCAAACGACAAAGCACAAAGGTGACAGCGAACTACGATTCGTAAAACAAAATTACAGTCAGAGAAGACCATATATGAAGAATATCCAAATTACCGAAAAATATATTGGCGGCAGACCAAATCAGCCATCTATAACATACTAATCCTTTAGAAAGAGATGCAAAACAACATATTACGAATCATTGTTTAAAAACTAAAGCCTAACAAAATCAGAAAAAAGAAAAATAAAATAAACCACCCAAAGAATGGAGGGCAGAGCGCAGGCAAGCAGCTCAGAATCCAAGCTTGGTGCGGCGCCAGTGTCGACGCTTAGCGTTGTACCTGGAGAAGAAAACTTGTCACAGTAAGAAACAAGGAAAGAATTGAGACGGCACAATAGGAAATCAGAAAAAGATCGATAATAACCTGATGGTGTTGTCGGTCCTCATCCGGATCCAGTAGGGAATAGGCCTGTTCTGCCTCATCTTCTTGGCCAGCTTCTTCTTAATTCTAAAGGTCTTGTGGGACGGCTGTCGCATGATTCAAACCCAGTAAGAAGATAAAAAAACCATCACACAATACGATTATGATGCCACGACAATGAGATTACAATCCTTACCATCCTAGCTTCGTCTGCAGAGATTCTCGGCGCCGGGAGGTGAAGGGAGCTACCACCGAACACGAAAACCCTAACTTGCCTTTTTATCAGATGGCCGCCTTTTAAAGAGTGGATCTGTTGGTGCCAAATGGGCCTACCTTTAAACTCAACACTGACAAATGGAAGGGGGACCAATTTATATTGGGCCAGGCCTAATTAAATGGTAATGTAATACATGTAAAATCAATGGGCTCTGCAACAAAGGGAAATGTAAAGTGTATGAGAGTATGAGCCTCACAGGCCTCGTTATGTTGGGCCAATTACTAGAGCGGAGCCTGATTTTGCAGGCTTCTGGAGCTCACCCAACAAAATTTCCAACGGAGCTAATTGAATAAATTTTTTGGGGGGGGGGGGGGGATGTGGGAAACTTGTAAGTTTGTGACTTGTGAGATTGTTGGGTTAAACTTAAATATATCTATTTATCTTTTAAAAATTAAAAAGGTTATCCATTTTAAAATTTCAATCCAATTTATTAGGTGACTCATTTAAATTACAAAAAATAGCATACTGATAAATATCTTTCAAATCAAAACTACCATGTGAAAAAATTAAATTCAACGTTCAAATAAATTTCTCGATTTTTAACAATTGAGAAAGTGACATCAACCAGCTGAAGAAGGATATCAAATTAATGATATCTTTTCTTCAGATTACATCTGAAGCCTATCTTAAATGTTTAAATCATTCAACTCATGAGCTGAAATCAGGTAAGACAAATGATGAATTAAACGAGTCAGCTTGATTGGTCAAGCCTATTTCGACTCATCTGATTTATCTCAAATACAATATCTTGTGCTATTGTTCATAGCAAAAGGAAATATATCTCACAACGTCGAAAGAAATCATGTTATGGCCGTCATTTTGGTCTTCAAAGCAAATCCTATAGCACTTATATACTTTCTTGTTGCTGGTAATATTTCAGTATTACTAGTATGGATGTATTTTTAATACGAGTGAGTCGACTCAAATCCTCAGCTTGCGACAAAGTGTCACTCCTATAATTCATATTCAAAAGCCCGTTGAAAGGTGCAACCATGGAACGCAAAACTATTGGCCACATAAGTTAGCGGGTAAGACCAGTCCTTTTCCGCACATCAATTCAGTCACATGACAATAGTTTTTTTTTTTTTTTTGTGGTGCTCTCCTCTCCCCAAACAACGACTTGCGAGTGTTAAGGTTCCTTAATTATCGCGCGCAGATAGGCCTAAATTCAAACAATATAATTGCCCCATCTCCTAAGCCACATAGTAGTACTGAGTTACAACCTGTCACCTGCCAGAATTAGTCATTACTCATCAGCGTTCCAATGCCGTGTAGTGTAACCCATACGATTGAGGAAAAAGAAAGAAAGGAATGTAGTGGTTTGTAGTTAATGTCGTGATAATGGTTTTGACCTGTGGAACTCGAGTAGAAGAAAACAGAAGAGCGCGCGCGCGCGTTATACTTGGATATACCATTATGTACAAAATTAATTTCAAAAGCCCAAGCACATGGGGGTGTGTGGTTGTTGGCTTGCTTACCCTCCAAATCTTGGAAGTTTGTAGCACCAAGCATGTGCTTCCCTATCCTCACCAATAAATCAAAAACCTCATGCGTTCCTCTCTGTTTGTTTCCACAGGCTGATTGAGTAAAAGACATTCCTGGAAGTTTGTAGTGTATGATCAGTAGCTTGTTTAAGAGATGGACAGACCAAAATTATTTACTTGAGATCCCTCGAAGTGATTTCAAGCAAGGCTATGGGAAAAATAGACACACAAAAGGTGGATCCTGCTATGATTAAGCTTGATTTAGTCATATATTAAAGAGAAGTTGGTGACATCAACCGGGGTTCAAAATATAGAATTACATTCCACCATAAACATATCAAATATAGAAGCAGTGAACAAATGTAGTGGAGCTGTTAGACTCCCATAATGTTTGGTAAAGAACAATAGGATACCTTTTTTTCTTATTATCAAATCCTCATTGGTGGAGGCAAAATAGGAAGAGGCACATGCTTGGAATTTACCATGGCCTGTCATTTGAGAGCAATAATACCAAAAAAGGGGACAAACCTTGAAATTCATATTATGGCTCTGTTCATGAAAAGCAGCTGATACATGCAACTTCAATTCTTGTGACAGTTAGATATATCACATGATTTCCCTTGAATAAGATCTCATTCAATACTTTGGAATCAACATTAAACCGTGCATGTGAATTTTTTCTTGATTTTTCAAATTACTTTATAGTTTTTACCCGTCCCCGATGAGAACCCATCAAGGGAATGAGAATTTGGAATATATAGATATATTCAGTTTTGGGGTGGTGGAGAGACAAAATCCCAGAGAGTGCGGGGAAGGGGGAGTAATTAGTGAAGGCAGTCACATCGCCATCTTTTGCTGAGCTTTGTGATAGCAACAAAACCGCGTCGCTGGACGCTGATATTCACTCCCAAACTGACCATCATCTTGCTTTTGCTTCTTCCAACTTGATCTTCCTCATTTATTCTCTCTTTGACTTTCATTTGCCCACTACCTCCTCTTCCCTCACCGTTTCCTCTCTCTCATTTTCCCAGTTATAGGTAACATACGTGCAAGGAAGACTAGAAAAACAAATGCAAGACAACAGGGAATGTTAATTTACATTACATATACATCGTGTATATGTGCGTGTATAAAGTTACGAGTTAGAACTACTGAACCCACAGAAAAAGACAAGCTACCAATTTTATTTATTAGAAAGAATATTAAATGGAGGAAAATGGCATGTTAGGGTTATCTCCCGAAAGCACGCAGCTGACTAATATTATTATAACTATTATTTGGTTGAGAAGGTTGAATTCAATGGATGGAGCACGCTATGTGTTAGCCAAAGTTTGCATGTGATGGAAAGACAGAGAGTGTGTGCATGACAGACACAGACAAAACGACTCATCAAAAGCCCACAAAACCGTGAAGGCTCAGGTTTTCTTTCGCTCCCTGATCCCTTTATATATATATATATATATATATATATCTCAGCATGATATGACACTATCCCAATTCCATTCATTAAACAAATACACAAGCTTTGCTTCCTGGTTTCCTTTTGTTCTCCATCGTCACCCATGTTATGTTCTTGGACCCACTTCACGCGTATATAAATGGGTGGGTCCCGTCTCTCTTTTTCCACATATCTCCTTCACTTTCTGACCTTTTCTGCATATTACTTCAATCTTGTTAGCTGGAAATCAAGACATAAATCAAAGATAGATATGTATAAACTATAAAGACACTAAAATCCAAATCCCTCAATCCTCCACATACATACATGCTGCATGCTTCTTTCTTCTCTTGTGCCCCTTCTATTCCTTCTTCACGTCTCTTCTTTTCTTCTTGCTTATCATGTTACCTTGTTCTTTTCTTTCGGCCTAAACCAAAAAAAAAAAAAAAGGTAGGCATGCAACACTCCCCCAAATAAGAAAATGTCACACTCTTTTACATTTTACTCCTCATATGACTGTGTATTTCACCGCAAGCCCAGCCCCCCACCCCCGGGGCCGCGGGGACAAAAGTTAAAAGAACCAGATTAAAGATTTCCTGCCTCCCCTTCTCACACTTCGTGCCTGTGAAGCTCCAATGGTAGTGCTCTTGAAAAGTTGTTGTTCATCTGAAAAATTGAACAGTTCCATTACTGACCATCATCCGATGATGTTGGTTACACGTGGCATTTAGACGGAGCCGCATTCCGTTCTCATCAGCCCACAAGGCTGATCTTGACCTTTCATTTTGTTTTAAAATTTGATTTTAAATTAATTTTTAAAATATTTTAAATATTATATTTGTGAAAATAAAAATTATAAACATTTTTAATATTAAATTTGAACGGCTCTCAATGCTCATTACATGTACATAACTCGTGACAGAATCTAGACAATCCAAATTTAAATTTTTATTTTCATTTTTTATTTATCAAAATAAAAATGCATAAAAAGGATCAAATTTTTAATAAGTCTGTTGATAATCAATCTTGTTAGTTAGATTTCATCTGAATAGTTCAATTTAATATGAATTTTTTATATCTTTTATAAATTGATTATTCAAATATATTATAGATTGTTCATAAATAATCTGAATGATCTAATGTAATATTAAAATTTTTATAATTTTTATAAATTAATTATCTAGATATATTTAGATGCTCAAGATTTACTAACAATTTTTTATAATTTATATTTTCAAAACTATAATATTTAAAATATTTAAAATTAATTCAAAATTAATGGTGAAGATTATTTTGAGATAAAATGAAAGGTTAAGATTAACTTCGTGGTTTGATGAGCACGCGAATGTGATGGGCACGGAAAGCAGATCCTATTTAGACAGCCTCCATGTTTTTATTCAAATGTAGCCGTTTGCACATGGGACACACAGATTGTGGGACAGACCAAAATCAGCCCTGGCTACGGTACATATGAATGAATCCCAAGGTTGGCTCTACAACACATTATATATAAGATTAATACTCACATACATACACACATCTATAATATTGCCCCTGCTTATATAAACATATGGTGTAAGATTTTTTTTTTCTTTTTAAGATAAGTGTTGCATTATTAATCTGTGATATGTATGATGGAGATAGTAGTGTTAACATGTGGGGGAATAGTGAGTAGAAGATGGCCCATCACTTACCAAAGACCTTGTAAACTATTCATGTCTTCACACATACCAGGTACCATATGCTTTTGTTTCCCTGTCAACCATCCTAAGTGTTCAACTCTCCACACAATATTCGCAGAACCCCACAAATCAACCCTAATTCAAAACACATCTCTCAACTTCATGCTACTTCATATTATTTTTCAGCAATTTGCTTTAAATCGAAGGAAACACCCCATTTGATAATTGTTTCTATAGAGTTCGTCCTGAGGACAGAGACTTCGAGTGTATGGGGCGAACAGAACATCTCATGCCCCCACCCATCAAAAGATATGATATAGCCTAATTATGGTGGTCTGAGAATCTTTGATCTTTAATTGATGCAGTCTCAACTTGGGATTGACCCAATCATAAGATTTTCCTCACCGCACAATACTGATGCACCAACTTTAATGCTAAACAATTTTTTTTTTTGGGTATTTAATGCTAAACCATTTTTATCCATATTACTATATATGTTTTACCACTAATACCCCTCTCTGTTTTTGTTTTCTTGCCAGAAAATCTCTCTATCTCTCTCAAATACATCATGCAAAGTATGGTCCTTGTATCTGTTGTCTCCGGATGGTTCCAACCAGGGTCTAAAATTTGATATAGAAAAATGACACAAAATGTTCCAATTAAATCGCATATAAATCGTTTTCATTAGGGCAACAGGAGCTTAATATATGTATTTCAAAGATTTTGAAGTTCAAGGTTCATAAACAGACAGGACTACAATCTAGTCGTTATCTCCTACTGCTCCCCATTCACATGAGAAGAATCTATGGGTAGGAAAGGGTCGTGTATTTTAGATATTTCTAGGACAAAAATAAGGTGTAATAAATTATATTACATATATAAACAAGCAAAAGTAGCCATCATAGTTGGAGAGACATGTGAAATCAAATCGGGCCAGTTGAAACGTCATTGGATATACTTATTCAATAATCATGACTTGCAAATTACAATATGGACAACTGGGGGCGAATAAGTAAAGGAAGAAAAAAAGTGTAAAACCCCTGAAAATCCTTTGTGGGTCCCCTGTGCTTAAATTGGGAGCCAGATGGATTAGAAAAAAGGGTCTTGATGTCCGTGAAAGAATCCAACTACAAAAACCTACCGTCCCCTCCTCCTCCCTGCGGCACCACACAGACGTAAGACCTCTTAATTCTCTCTCAGACACTCTCTCAAACGCTTCCTGAACAGAGTACGCTCCTTGTTCTCCAACATGGGCAGGCCACAACAGAGATACCGAGGCGTCCGACAAAGGCATTGGGGCTCTTGGGTGTCTGAAATTCGCCACCCTCTATTGTAAGTGAACCTTCGTCATGTGCGTGTCTTAGGTTCCATGTCCATGCACGCTCGTCTCTCATGCTTTGCTTCAATGCTGATGTTGAATCTTTCTTGTCTGTGTGCAGGAAGACTAGGATTTGGCTTGGTACTTTCGAAACTGCAGAAGATGCGGCCAGAGCCTACGATGAAGCAGCGAGGCTAATGTGTGGGCCCAGAGCGAGAACCAACTTCCCGTATAACCCCAATGCGTCTCAGTCGTCTTCCAAGCTTCTCTCGGCCACTTTGACGGCGAAACTTCATAGGTGCTATGTGGCTTCTCTGCAGATGACTAGACCCTCATTACCAGAGCCTCAGAGAGTGGCTTCTTCGCCACATGTTGACGTTTCCACAAGCAGTTCTGCTGACACAGTGTTGCCACACAAGAGAGCCCAAGAAGAGCAAGAATCAGAGGCCAATTGGGTTATGAAGAAGAAGGTGAAGGTGGAAACTGCACAGCAATTCAAACCTCTTGAAGAAGATCACATTGAGCAGATGATAGAGGAATTGCTTTATTACGGTTCTGTTGAGCTCTGCTGCTCTGTGATGGACTAGAGAGTTTCAGCGTTGTGCTGGCTCACATTCTTAATTGCGCAATGCACTGCTCATTTTGCTAATTTAACCCATTTTTCTCAACCTTCTCTTCCCTGTTCTGTCTACTTTAGTAATGTGGCTCGTCCTCTGGTCCTAGATATACCTTCTAAGTGACTCATTAGATAATCCTATGTGTACAGCAGATCATTATCGACGATGTTGTAATGTTATCAAGCCACTGTCTTTATTATGTGTCGTGCCTCTGTTCTGAGATCGTGGCCTCGGCTGCAATGCAACTTGCGAATTAGTCTGTCTTTCCTCTGAAGCGTATGGGCAAAATTTGTCAAAAGGCACAGCTTTTCAGAAAACTGGCCACATCCATTTTTTTCTAACATTGTAGAATTTTAGGCACTCAGATTGCTCTTCATTCTGACACAAGTTATAAAATTTGAATTCAGTTAAAATTTAAAAAGAAAAAAAAGTGCGAGTTAGTTTTGTATTGTGACACAAAAATATACAAAACTGACCACTTGAACACCTGAGGTGATCTAATATTTTTCTTCAGAATCCCGATTTAAATGACCTCCTCTGTTTTAACCCCCACCAAAGTCTCTACTTCGAGATTCGCTCATCCTGCGACTTGGTTATGATTTATTCAAAGTCATGGCCAGTTCCTAGTGGTACTTGGTTAATGATTTGCCTGACTCTGTACTTCTGGTAAACAGAAACGCCATCTAAATATGTTACTTATGCAGCTCTCCACCAACTGAATTTCATTTTATGTTCAGATATATGGGGCTGAGTCAATTGAGTGAAACGAAAATTTTTTTTTTTTTTTTTGAGTAGTGAAACGTATAATTGTACCAGTCAATGATGATACAAATTTATTCTTATAGGCATTGTGGAATGACGAAGAACATGAAAACTCTGTGAAGAGCAGTGGGAGGAAGTATCATGTTTAATTCTGAATAACAATTTCGTGGGGCATAGTATACACATGAAACAACAAAATTTGAACTTGCTACAGAATAGATATAGTGTGTGCTTGGAGGCCATCATTCATGGGGAAAAAAGGAATGAATACTTTTAAAAAATTGAATGTCTTTTTGTTAGGGATCGCTGCTACTGCCAAAGAAAATGGACGCTGAATGAGATTGAGTGGAAGTTCTAATGATTTCTTGGAGGGCCCATTTACCATTTTAATCTCCAAAAGGCTTTCTATGTTCATCTTTCAACCTCCTCTCTTTCACTCCCCCCCCCCCCCGGGCCTCCGGGACGCGGCAAACCCAATTATGTTTCTGAAATTCACAGCTTCTTTCTGAGAAATATTCATGGTCCCCAGTTCTTTTTTTCTTTTTTCTATTTTTAACAGACCCAACAAAAATTCACTCTGAATTCTGAAATAAATGAGCTTATTGCCTTTTTGTAAAGAAGAAAGCGAGGTCATAAAATTCTTAACAGAATCTTTGGGACTTATGGAACGCAAACGTGAAAACGAGGGCGTTATCAGGATCACTGAATCAATTTCTAGTAATCTTCCTCAGTGGGAGGCAATGTCATCGGAGTGTGAAAACAGATTCATGATTAATAAATGGGCTCAACTAATGAGGATTTTTTTCTTTTTCTCGTAAATGGAAAGCGAACATGTCGTTTTCTGGGCATATCTGCATCTATTGCAAGTTTTTAATCTGCAGTAAAATTGTTATTTTCTTTACCATTTTTGGGGACTTCTTCCATTGTGGGGATGATTTTTCTTTAGCTTTGAGTGGCTGTTAGCGTTTATCCAGTACCTAATCATGTTTTAGAGTTGTGTGTCAGCTTCGTTATCAAGTTCAGATATTATTCAGTTCAGCACCATTATGATGCAATTCGAGATTCCTGTCGAATCTACAATTCTCCGAAATAATTATGGCTTTCACCTTATTATTGACTGTCCCAATGACTGTCCGATGGATCCAGGAGAATAAACTATTAGGAAAAATTATAAACTAATTATGCGTCAATTTTCATCTAAAAATTATTGTCTGTTATCCCATTTACTAGGATATTATGGGTAGGGTGGTGTAGCCATCAATTTCAATAATGGTCAAGCATTTTTTTTTTTTTTATTCAGATTGGATCTTTGAAATTTTAGACCAGCATGTTTAAAGAAGGTAAGGTCTGTTCATATTTAAACAATTATTAGTGTCATTCAAAGGAAGAATGATAGCTAGGTGTCAAGATGATCAATTAATTTAAATTAAATTTTAAGTACTAAACTCTAAAATTTTATAAGTCCATATCTTAATTTTATAATTTCATTGTGATAAATTTATAACTTATTTTTTAAATTTTAATATAGTTAAAAATGAAAAAATTTATTTTCTCTATTAAAATTTAAAATACAAGTTATAAATTCATTATAATAAAATTATAAAATTAAAAGTCAAACTTACAAATTTTTAAATTTGACACTTGAGATAAATTTGAATTAATTGAACCTCTCTGAACATTCTCCCAAATTCAAAACCTATATAATGCTAATACATTTATATAGTTTTTTATTTTTACTGTATATATATATATATATATATTTGTGAATCACAAACTTTTCCTTAAACAAAAAAAAAAAGGTTAAAATATACTTTTAATCCTTTAACATATACTATGTCTCAATTTGGTCCTTTAATTTTATAAAGTATTTTTTTAATCTTTCAATCCTAACATTATTAATTTGAAATAATTATTTTTTGTGTCAGTCATTATTTTTTTTAAAAAAATAAATTTAATATATCAACATTTGAGAATACTTTATCAATATTTAAAAGTTCAATGTAAAAATTTGTTAAGATGAAACTAACAATATTAGGGTTATAGAACTAAAAAGATATTTTATAGATTTAAGAAATTAAAGTAAAATATTGTGTAAAATTAAAGGACTAAATGTATACTTTAGCCAACAAAAAAATTATTATGTTATATTTTATTTAAATTTTAATTTTTTATTAAAATTAAAGATCCTCCATTAAAATATGGATATATAATATTTGTATTTTTATCAAATATGAATATATGATAGTTAAAATATGATCATTTTCTTAAAAAATTTAGAATACAGATACACAGCATATATGTATAGGTGGAAATATTTACATGTATAATTAACACATTAACTCATCAGAAGGAAAAATGTATTGAGTAATAAAAAATTATAGCATAATAAATGTTAAACAAACCATGTTGATGTTTGCAAATAATGTTTGCTACAACTGGCAAATTAAATAAAATTTATATTCTTTCTTTTTAACGTAAAAATAATATAATATAAATTCTTAGATAGATTAAGTACGCTACATTGTTTGTAATTTATTTAATAAAAACATGATATTTATATAATATTAAATATAAATTAATTTTGACATTAATGATGGTAAAAAGAGAAAGTAAAAAAAAATTAAATATGCATTTAAAATAACATTACATAAGATTTTATTTAAACTATTTAAAATATTTTAATTAAATAGATTATAAATGACATGACGTATCTAATATATTTAAAAAATTTTTTATATAAATACTGTAAAAACCTTTGAAACCCTTTCTTCTATCTTACCTCGAGTAAAACCCCAAAAGGTCTTATTTTGCTGTCAAAATTTGAGTTGACATAGATCCATGCAAAGTGGTACAAATCAATGCACATACAGAGGCATGGAACAATTATCATACTGCATATCCAATATGTGCAGTGTACTTTTTCTGAAGTACCGGTATTTTATAAATCAAAATAAAACATATTTTCATAGAAAATTAATTTTTATATATTTCTGTCCAACAATTACTGTAAATTAATTGTATGCAATGCACACTACATCTTCATTGTTGTTAAACAATAATTATTGTTTTTAATCTTGTTATCATTGTTAGGCGCAGGTAGCAGAGTTGGGTGCCTGAGTGGAAGTGTGTTTTGGTGACCCATCCCTATCGGTAAAACTTCATCATTGTTCTTCTGTTACTCGGAATTGATTTTGTTCCCCACAACCACCATATGATACAGTTCTTTTTAGTCTCTCTTTACTTGTTTTTTTTTTTTTTTTACTTTCCATCCCCTCAAAGTTGGTTAAATCATGTCATGTTAGTGAGTTTTAATTTCCATCATTAATCCCTTGAACTTTTACACCACCTATATATTATTAATTCCTCCATCAGACACACACATGCCAGCTCCAACATCACAAAAATTTTCACTTTATCCGCTGACCCTCTCTCTCTCTCTCTCTCTCTCTCTCTCTCTCTCTCTCTCACACACACACAAACAAAAGCAAGGGTAAACCCCCCCCCCCCAAAAAAAAAGCAAGGGTAAAACTAGTAAGAAGAACGGGTTATGTCTGTTTTACAGGAATTGCCCTAAATTTATTGGCCGGGCTAATTACCCTGAAGAACGAGCTGATGCGTTGATAAGATGTTCACTTTGTTTGGCATTTTGACTTGTATCATTGTTACCGCTTTTCACCTGATGAGTAGTTTAATTTCTCTAGTTTTAAGACTGAAGTGCATCTTTCTAGGTTAAACACAGTTGAAGATGTTTGGTTCAATCATTATCCTACACTTTCATTCTCCTGTCCTGTTCGCTCCATCTGAAACATTATTTAAGAAAAAAGAAAAGAAAAGAAAAGGAAACGATTGTGGCTGTCTTATCCACGAAGGAGCATATTCCTTGTACTTTTTATCTCGTTTGCCTGTAGTTCCTAAATGACGATGATTAGTGTCGGCACAGTCAATTAATCTCTACTGATTTACATATATATGTCATATATAAGTTAGAGCCAACGAGAGCGCTGATACTCGGTACATGTTCTTCTTCACACAAATAGTGACTCTGTCACAGCATAGATCATTCAGAATAATTGTTATTACAGAGAAGATCCATTCAAGCTAGCTTATAATTAACTCTCGCGGTGTCTGTTGTCTCGGTAATCTAGTGCCGGTGCTTTGTCTAGTTATTGGGCTTAAAAAAGCACGCGAAAGACAAGAACGCACAAGATGAGGCGATCGTAGAGGGAATTTATTCATACTGGACCAACAAAAGGAGGTCATGGCCAGCAGCTTTCGATGAGAAAAGATGCGTTAATTTGATATTACGCCTCGAGGCTAAGGCTTCATCAAAAAGGCCTTTCCACGGAGTCAGCAACAGTGAAAAGGAATTAGCGAGGAGTCAAAGATGAGGGTGTTGGTTAGGAGAAAAAGTGGTCAAAACCAATGATGGCGTGCTCA